CTGCAAGTTCCTTGACATTTGCCTTTGGCCAGCTGATCACTAACTAGGGGAAGTTTTACTCAAGCATCTTGGGGAAGAATTTTGGCTGTTAATGACTGCGATTTATCAAATCAAAGGTTGATAACTTTAATAGAATTATTGAAGCTGTTGCAATGATACGGTCTGATCCACCAGGTTAACAGAGGCTATCAAATTTCATTAGGATCAGAGATTTGTGGAGGCTTACTAGCCCATTGTGCTAGCAGGGCTAAAGATCCTGGTTCTCATAGCCCAGCACGAGGGAGAATGTGGCTAGCATCACATTTCTCCACCTGACTCCCCAACCCAAATAACCAAGTTCCCACTTCCAGCTGATTTGGTTAGAGGGGGCAGGCTATGGAAAAAGCTAGCATAAGCTACCTTCTCACACAGCTGGAGTTGTAGCAAGACAGCTTAACCACTCTGCCATCACAGCCCTTACATCAGTGGGTGGAGGGTGGGGAGAAGGAGGATAGTTAAGCCAAACTGGGAAACCTGGTCCATGTACAATACAGGGAGTGGACAGGAAGTTTAAAATGCAAAGAACCATTACTTTATGCTATAATCTGCTGAATTTTAGCTCTCTTTTCATTGCAGCAGTAAGTAGAAAACAGGTTACCTGCTGAGAAAGGCATGAAGGCCTCCTTCTTTACAAATTTTCCTTCAGAGTCAAGAAAATGCTCAGGATAGAAAACATCTGGCTTCTCCCACTGAGACTGGTCTCGCAGCACGGAGGCCAGCAAGGGGATGATGTAGGTATTCTGAAAAACAGATCCATGGAGCTTCCTGTGAAGGCATCTGGTCACTTGATCTGGGGCAGATGCAGGCTGGGTAGGGGAGGGGCACGTTCAATGCTCCTGTTGCACCCCCAACCTCTCTATCATTCCTGGTCCACCAAAAGTATAAAACCAACTGCCTGGCAGTGCAGCAGCATTTCTAGTCAGGGAGCTCTGAGGGAGTCAGTTGATTTCATGGCTCATTACCATCTACCTGATTCCTTCTAAATTTCATTCCACAGGTGTTAATGACCCTCCCTCCTTCTTAATGGTCTTGATGTTCAACTAATCAGGCTAACCTTCCTTCTGCAATTCTGCTGCATTTTAGGTTCTCCTGTTGTTGAAACTCATATTGCACAGTCCTTCAGACTGCTTATAACTCTAGCTAAAAGTAAAAACATTAACTTGGGTATGGAAATAACTTTTGGTGAAGCATTGGATGCACTGTCAAGATGCTCATGCATGCTAAATTTTTTTAATGAATCTGAAAGAGAAATGTACATTTAATTCTAATGATTGCAGGACTAATGGAACTTGGGATTTTGATTATTCTTGCCTCGTTTGTTGTTTTTTATTCACAATATATGCTATAACAAATTAATGCACATTCCAAGAAATATATATTTTTGTTTTTGCTCTGATCTTAACCTGAAGAATATATCCCTAGGCCTCTAGCTTATTAGTAAAGTTTCTAGTTTTTTGTAACGTTGTAAAATATGCATTGTGTTTTGTGTGGTGATGTACCACACCATCTGCATCCACTTGATCATTGCTATGGTAATAGGCAATAAATGGTATGTCAGGAATACTTGGTGAATACTGTCAGCTGATTTCTGATTGTCTGATTTGACAGCAGCAACCAAGCCAGGGGTCCTAAAGCGTGGATGTCACAGAAGAAGAGGGAAGGAGAGCAACGCTACAAGCATCTTACCTTTGGAATGAAGTAGCCTTTGAGAGTGACGTCTACAGTAGTTTCATGAGGTAGATTCAATGGCAGGATATTGGCAAACCTCTGGATTTCATGGACAACAGCATCCGTGTAGGACATCTTAGTTCGATGTTCAGTTCGCGGTGGATTTGATCCTAGAACTCTTGCTATCTCATCTTGGACTTTTTCTGCAGAAGAATTTTAACCTTTTAAGAAGGAAACCAGCATTTCCAAATCCCAAAGAAATGTTGTATGGTTTAGCATGAAATGTATAAACTCATAGGCTAAATGGATGCAAGTCTAAAAATCTTTTTCTCTCTCTATACTTAATGGGGTACAAATAACATCAGATATTTTCATGTATTCAGCATCCTCAAAGAAAAGTGTAGAGCTTCTGAAAATACATGGGTAACTGACTCCCTTCATTAAATTGCCAAATCATAGCATAGTTTAACAGGTGCTAGGTGGAAAGCCTTTGCTGGAGCCATAGTACTCTAGACTGTGCAGTTTTATCCAAGGGTATAGGTTGTAGCCGTGTTGTAGCCTAAGGACATAGGCAGACAAGGTTCTTTGGGTAAATACAATATCTTTTATTAGACCAACTCAAATAGTTGGATAAATTCTTCTTTGCAAGCTTTCAGGCACAAACACCATTTGTCAGGCTGAGGAACCATGTGCAGATGGTCTGTGCTCTTCCTTGATGGAGTGGTAAAACAGCCAGAGGCCAGTACCTATGCATGACAGCCGATCAGTTAAAATGTAAATTGGTCAGTAGGTGAGAGACCCATGGTGGGGTATGGGGAGGGAGGGGAGAATGGCTGTAGCTGTAGTCAAAGGATGAGAGACAGGAGGGTGGTAGGGAAGGGAATGAGAATAGCTGGTAAAAGTGGAGGTTTTTACCTGGGGAATCAGGTGTCAAGCAGGTTCTAGTGTGTCATAAATCCAATGTCTATATTTAGTCTACAATTTTTTGTATCAGTAGGTTGATGAAGTGAAGTTCATATGCTCACCTGTGAAAGGTATTTTGTAAATTCCCTTTGAGTATTAGAGCTGTGAGGTTGCAGGGAGAGTGGTTTTCTTGTGAGAAATGTGCCGCCACAGGTAACTGGGTATTCCACTCTACTTCAGAGCCTATTTTACGTGTAGCAGCTCATAAATTAACTTTGGAGTTCCACAGTTCCAGGTGGGGTGTGTTGGCCATAATGGCAATTGTTACAAGAGCACTTACCCTGAATTTTGGGGTACTTCATCATTAGGAGAAAGCCCCAGCGTAGTGTAGTGGAAGTGGTCTCCATGCCAGCAGCAAACAAATTGCCTACCAGGCTTTTTAAATTCTCATTGTGGAAATAACCATCATTGTCATTTTTCTCCTAAGAAGTGGAAAGGAAATATAGATTAAAACTACAGAGTCTCTATTGGAAGTTTGTATCTTAGCAAACAAAGAAATAGGTACTAAATAAGGTCTGTATTATTTAATTGCAAGCAAAAACTAAAAAGGTTGTGATCAGATGCCCTGAGAAACACACTGATTTCTCTACCCAAACTCAGTCTGCCAGGCCTTGAGTACCTTGGCCCCAGTTTGGTCATTTACGTATGCATGTGCTTTGCTTTAAACACATAATCAAACTCACTGATGGCAGGAGACATTCTAAAAACAATTCAGCATTAATGGGATGTCCTTTGAGCTTCAAGGTGTGCTTGTGCTTAAGTCTATTATTGCATCAGGGTTGACATGCTCAGCCTCTTGACAGGCCTGAATTTGTAGATACAGATATTTTCCCTCTATAACCATAACAGTCCTGAGATCTACAGCTATAAGAAGCTAGGGTCAGATCTAGAAAGGATTTGGTCACAGTGATATACAATGTGTTGGCCACAGACTTTTTGGTGCCTGACATTTAATGGACTTGTCCACCCTGATTTAGTTGACCAGCTGCTTCGTGCCTAGAAGGGGCAGGCACTGAAGACTGGGACCCATAAAGGGAGTACACTGAAACCTAGAGGGGAGGACATGCAAGGGACATGGATGTGACCTAAGCTATTTTTCTCACAGAGGTTTTGAGGCACAAATCCAGGCTGTAGGAAAGTACCCTCCATCACTTGGGGTTCTTGTGGTGAATATCCTGAAGGCTAGTTAAGCAAGAAATTTCTGGCAAAAGATGGTTGATAGAAGGTGCTACCACCACAGACTCCTCCATCATAATCTATTGGCCAAACTATTGACCTGGAGGGTGAGGGACAGGCTCAAATCCCTCCTCTCAGCACATCTCAGCAACCTACCTCTCCTACCTTACAGAAGAGGAATTTAGCTACCAAGATATTGTGTACTCTGGTGTGGACTGTTCCTAATTCTTCCTGCTGAAGTTGTATAAAATGCTTAAATATTCACTGGAATGCTTAAATATTCACTGCAGTAAGGAATTGATTCGTAATCTCTCTCAACCTAGGTGTGCATCCCAATCACTAAAGAACAGTGTCCTTCTCTGTCTCTAAGGCCCAATGAACATTTAACTATTTTTTACAACGTGGATCATTTTCAAAAGGAAATAGTGAGTGAGCCCAACCCCAGAATACGCTGTACCTTAGAGGGCGACAACAAACACTTAAGAAAATGGGGATGGTGACTCATGTCCCCTCAGGGAAATGAAGTATCTAACCCCAGGACTCCTGTATCTTCTGCAGCTGTTATAGCCATTAGGCACTTGGAGGAAAAAAGGCTACTATCACTCTTATTATAATGAGCTGTATTTTTGTGAGGCTCTCCATGTCCTCAAGACTTCCTGCCAACTCAGATCCTGAAGGCAAGATGGATGGAGGAAGTGCCTGCTCTGTCCTTCCCAGCAGGGTGTAGGTAGGAGCACAGCACCCACTTGCTCAGTGTTGTCCAGCCTCCATCACCCACTTGTTCAATTTTCATATCAGCCCCTTCAGGCTTCCTCCCCCTAAACATCCACAAAACCAAATCATTGCTGTCCTTCAGATACATCCTTGGAGCTCTCCTTTGCTGTGATATCTACAATGAGCATGACAACATTAAGCCACTGGTGTTCTACGACTCCTGTCTATCATGGAAACCCTCATTGTCCCTTATTTTATATTTAGACTTTAAGTTCATTGGAATCAAAATCATCTTTGCGTCCTCGTCCAAGCCCGGGGTTTCTGGTGTAACAGCAGCAGCAACAACAGGAAAACACTCTGTCTAATCTGTCTAATCTGAATGTAAGAAATAAGGGGCCCCTTGGGACTCAGAGTGGGGGGGCAGCAAAGGCAACTGTCACAGGGCTCAAGTGCCTATATACTAATGCTAGGAGCATGGGAAACAAGCAGGATGAACTAGCGCTCCTGCTTGCACTAAACACCTATGACTTAGTAGGGCTAACGGAAACCTGGTGGGATTCATCCCACGACTGGGCAGTACATATTGAGAGTTATAGACTGTACAGAAAGGACAGGGTGGGGAAAAAAGGGGGAGGGGTTGCGCTGTATGTCAATGAGCAATATACATCGACCCTCATCAAGACGGAATCCAAGGATGAGGAATTAGAAGGATTGTGGGTTAGGCTACATGGGGGGCAAAGAGAAAGGGATTTGGTGGTAGGGGTCTGCTACAGACCCCCACATCAAGGGGAAGAAATAGATTCGGGGCTCCTGAGGCAGCTCTCGGAGACCATAAAAGCCAAAGAGGTGGTAGTCATGGGGGACCTAAACTACCCGGACATCTGCTGGGAGTCACAGACAGCAAAG